GCTGCAGCTGCAGTCCAGCAGGCAGCGGAGGTGCGGCAGCGAGCGCCTGAAGTGGCAGATGGGGACCCGCCGGCCGCCGCAGCTGTGGCCAGGGCGGCAGCGGCGGCAGCGGCCACTGCGGCAGCAGCAGAAGTGCAGGGACTGTGATTACAGCTTTGCTTGCAGATTGACACACTGTGCCAACAGACACATTATTGCTGTCTTATTCAACGTTTGCAGGGCAGCTTTTCAAACTGCTTCGTGAAGAATTAGTAAATTCTATGACGCCATCCAGTTCAACATGGAATGCCAGATTACTGGCCCTTCGCTTGGGCACTCCTGCCTTGTATGTGGTATATATGGTAATCACCCATCGCTGGATTCAATGGATTGTGTCGTCTATCTGTGTCTGCCGGCCCCTTGGAAGTTGTACTGCGGAGTGAAACGGTGCGTAGGGGACAGCGATCGGTTGGGTGGCCTCATCTCGTTTCACAGCCATCAGTGCTGGAGCTCGTCATCGCACCGGCAAACAGCACTGAGAGCGCGCACCAAGGCGTTTGTCCCCCTGCCATGGCCGGCCCCTGGTCTCCGTGACGCACCTGCTCCACTGGCGTTTCCACGTCGATCGGGGCCCCCACGTCCACTGCAAAGAGTGATAATCAGACAGGAATTTTTCTTAAGCAGTATGCCCTAAATCTGGGAGCGCAGGCAGACTTTCAGGTGGGCACTGCGCATTGCCCCGTGACACCTGGCTACCGGTGCAGCTGCCTGTGCATTTTCCATGGAGCCACAGCTGGGCCGTCTCATGCAGCCGCTGAGTGGCGGTCGCACCAGGCGTCTGGGTGTCCAGAATGATCCCGCTGGATGGCGGCGGTGCCGGCAGCTGCACCAGCTGCACTGCGGCCGGCGCTGCCGCCGGATCAGCGGCCGCCGCTGAGGCCGTCGCTGCCGCTACCTGCGGTGCTGCTGGCGTGGAGTACTGCTGCGCTGGGCCGCTGGCGGTTCTGACTAGCGTTGGAGACTTGAGGTAGTTGATAACGCCCGCAAGCATGTCGGCCATGAAAGACCGCCTGCAAGTGAACACGGTAGAAGGTCAACACATCAGAGTGCCCAGCTGCAAGGTGCGTGGCAACAAGGCAGAGCATCCCCTGACCCCGCAGAACGCCGAGCTCGGCAACACGGGTGGACCCACTGACATCAACCAGGTGCTGCTATGAGTCCAGCGGGCCGTGAATGCTCACCACGCCGCTTGGCGCGCCGCGGTCACGCCGAGGTCAACCAGCAGGCGCCGTGAATGGGCGCGGTCAGGGACGTCCCCGCCTGCCACGGGACCTGCGCCTGCCGCAGCAGCAGCCATACTGGAGGCTGCCATCATTAAGAGCAGCAGGGCGGCTGCAGAACTGGGTCGCATTGCTGCTTGGCAGACCCGGAGAGGCGGTCGGCAGGGACCTGCCATGTCTTGGACAATCCAACCGTCGTTTTTCTCGTGGCTGGGACGTGGAGTATGGTGAGGGTGACTGAGGAGCTTCATTTACTGCTTAAACCACTTTTCTGGGCAGTCTGCCACTCTAGCAGGGGCTCGCAGCTGTATGTAGTGCCCGTTCCTAAAGCGGAAGCCGAGCAGTCCTCCGCAACACCGGAGGTTTGAACGGAACCGCGTGCGCATTGCATAATAGTTTTGGGAGTTTATTCACTCAGGTCACTATCCATCCGCGTCCAGCATGCGCGCGGGCCCGGCATGCTGAGGAGGACCTTTCGCCTCTCCATGCACGCACATAACGTCAAGAACCGCGTTGTCAGCGGCTGTAAACCAGGAATTGCGTCTAGGCGTGGATCACTCGGCAGGATGGTGACCACAAAGAGCGCGGGCTTCAGTGCTCCCATCGGCATGGAGCACCGCCACCAGCGCCTGAGCGTCGCACCAATGTAAGCCGCATCGGCGCTGGGGCGCCAGGGCAGCCGCCATCGGGCTGACGGCGGCGATGCACTTGTCGCACGCGCTCGCGCCGCTGCTGCTGCTGCTGCTGCTGCTGTTTGCTGTTCCTTCGCAGCTGCGGGTAACACTTCTTGGTGTTGTGGCGCTTGGCAAGCCACTTGCATTTGCACATTCGAAGAGCCTGCAGCGAGCACAACACACTGGCGGCCGCGGCTGTTGATGTGCGGTGCCCCTCCGTTGCACGCAGCACCTCCTGCCCCCTCACTGATCCCCCACCTGCACACATCTCACGCGGCCTGCCGCGTGGCAGGATGGACTGGACGGACGTGCATTACCGCCAGCTGGCGCGCCTGATCAGCCGCCGCACCTGGCTGTGGACGGAGATGGTGGTGGACAAGACCATCATCCACACCCCCCACCCGGACAGGTTCCTGTGGTTTCCCCCAGAGCAGCGGCCCCTCGTGCTGCAGCTGGGCGGCAGCGACCCGCAGACGCTCGCGGCGGCGGCGGTCAAGGTGCGGGGCGCCAAGGCCGCAGCCGGCGCATCCGGCGTCCGCTTGCGTGGTTTCAGGCGACCCATGGATGGCGCCCTGCGCGGCCTTTTGCGACTCAGTTGGCCCCCCAACAGCTCAGGTTTTGCAACCCGCAAGTCATGTTTCCTGTCAATTTACCATCCCAAATTCCAGGCGGCCCCATATGGTTATGACGAGATTAACCTGAACTGCGGCTGCCCCAGCGACCGCGTCGCGGGCGCCGGCTGCTTCGGCGCGGCCCTCATGATGCAGCCGCGCCTCGTCGCCGCCTGCATGGCCGCCACGCGCGCCGCGCTGGACGCGGCGGGCTACCCGCACGTGCCCCTCAGCGTCAAATGCCGGCTGGGCGTCGACGACCATGACTCGTATGAGTCGCTGGTCGAGTTTGTCAGGGCCGTGTCCGATGAAGGCGGCGTCCGCCACTTCATTGTGCACGCGCGCAAGTGTCTGCTGAAGGGCCTGTCGCCCGCGCAGAACCGCAGTGTGCCGCCGCTGCGGCACGAGTGGGTGTGGGGGCTCAAGCGGGACTTCCCACACCTCTCCTTCAGCCTCAACGGCGGCCTGCAGAACGCCTATGACGCGGCCGGCGCCCTCGGGCTGGACGTCCCCGGGCTGGGGCCGGGCGCGGTGTCCGGCGTCATGATCGGCCGCGCGGCGTACAACGACCCCTGGGGCGTGCTGGGGGACGCTGACGTGGCGGTGTGGGGCGAGGCGGGGAACCCGGCGCCCAGCAGGCGGGAGGTGCTGGAGCGGTACTGCGAGTACTCTGATGGGATGCTGGGCAGGTGAGGGCGAAGGGGTTGTGTGGCCCCTGCAGCGTGCGGCAGGGCCTTTTTTGGTGGCTGAGGTGTGTCTGCCATCCTGCTGGCCTGCTTGGTGCGCAAATCGATGGTTGTGGGTTGGGATGGTGCCCTTCATCAGGCTCGTTCACCAAGGGCTGCTGCGGTTGTCCGCCGCGCCGTACCGCACTGCACCCCCTCTGACCATCGCCCACACCCGTCATCACTCGCGCTCCCCCGGCCCCGCCAGGTGGGCCATCAAGGAGGACGGCCACCGCGAGCCTAACGCCCGCGCGCTGCTGAAGCCGGTGCTCAACCTGTTCCACGGCGAGCACGGCAGCAAGCGCTGGAAGGCGGCCATGGACGCTGCGCTGAAGGCGGCCCCCAAGGACGCCACAGTGCGGGACCTGCTGGCCGCGACCATTGATATGATCCCGCAGGAGGTGCTCGACTCGCCGCCGCTGCCGGCGCTCGCGGTGGCGGCCGTCGCGGCGGCGGGCGGCAACCTGCGGCAGTTTGCGGACGCCGCGGCGGCGGCGGCGGCGGCGGGAGCAGAAGCGGGCGGGGGCGGCGCGGCGGGCTCACCGCGGGCGCAGGAGCAGGAGCAGAAGGGGAGCGAGGCAGCGGCGGCGGCAGCGGCAGCGGGAACAGCGGCCGTCAAGGCGCTCCCGCAGCCTCCAGGGTACTCGCTGCCGCGGCCGCTGCCACAGCCGGGCGACCGCGCGGCGGGCGAGGACGAGCTGCGGCGGCAGCGGCTGAAGGAGGAGCGGCAGCAGCAGCGGCGGCTGGAGCAGCAGCAGGCCGCGGCGGCGGCCGCCAGCGGCGGTGGCGGGGACGGGTCAGAAGAGAGGGGCAAGGCAGGCGCCTCCGCCGGCGAGCGGCGGCGGCAGCTGTCAGAAGAGCCTGCTGCGCAGCAGCAAGCGGTGGCGGCCTGAGCTGACCGACACGCTGCATGTCTACTTGTTATGGTTTGAGTGTGCGTGCCGACGCCTCTGCCAAAGCCCTGAGCAAGGGTTTTGAAGGGATCGACTTTCATTGATTGTTCCTTTATGTGCGGTAGATGCGTATCGCAGCGGCGCCATGCAAACAGCCAGCTATGCACCAAGCATGGGCGTGGTCTTGCATCAATCTCCAGCTTACACCAACATGAAGGTTGGGTTTCAAGAGCAAGGCCATATTCACATTGGGCTGTGCTCAAAACAAACGCAAAGAAGTATTGTAACAGCATATGGATATGATCCCTGCCTCAGGGAATGAATCAGGTTCCGGGCAGCAGGCGCTTTCGCAGCGGCTGCTCCAAATGGTGAACGTTCTGTTTGCGCCGACTCGAGCAGCCATCAGCAACACCGCCTGGGCAGGGAAGCGCTGGTACACTCGCGCTGCGGTGCTGCAAAGCCACTCTGTATGAGGGATAAGCTCATTTCTTCTTTGCGGCGGTGACGTTGAACTGCAACAAGAAGGGTTGGCAAGTAGAGACGATCCCGTTGCGCGCCCGCTTCACAAACACGCGTCTGCGTCAAATGCGGGACCTCCAGCAACAGCTGCCCTCACTGCCTCGCCTCAGCCCTTGGATCAGCGCCAGCCCCCCAAGCACTGAGAAAGGAACACCGCATACCAAGCCCCGGCTTGAAAGGCCGCACAAGCAAGACTTTTCACACAGATGCACACACACACCTCCCCCTCCACTCTCCACCTGGAAATGGATGATGTCACCGTCCGCCACGACGTACGCCTTGCCCTCCTGGCGGTACTTGCCCGCGGCCTTGACCTCCGCCATGGACTTGGAGGTCGCCAGGCTGGAGGCGGTGCAGCAGGCGGAGGGCGCAACGGGTGGGAGTTCAGGCTCTGGCCGGGGTTTTGAATACTGGTTCACAAGCTGGGCCGGCTCGGGTCTTCCAGGCATGTCGTTGATCACCAAGGAGATTCAAATTTTGCAGCCAAGTTGCAAGCACACCCCAACAAGGCACTGAAGGATAACCTGGTTGGGCAGAGCCCCTCTGGCCTTGTGCAACCCAGCCCCAAAGCCCAAGGCCCCTCAACCTGTCAGGCCCCCTAACCACAACCTCACCTCCTGAAGTCGTCATAGGCCACCACCTCTGCCTTGATGAAGCCGCGCTCAAAGTCGGTGTGGATCACGCCTGCGGCTTGCGGCGCCAGCGTGCCCTGCTGGATGGTCCAGCACCGCACCTGCAGGAGGAACCGGGCCCCAGGAAAGTTGGTCAAGGGGAGCCGCATTGCAGAGAAGCGTAGCACTACAGGGGGCGCAGCAAACGTCGATGCGCACGTGCTTGAGCGTTACCACACAGCCTAGTGAGCTTATTGAATTCTGGCGCGCCACCCGCAAAGGGACACCCCTTTCGACAACTGTACAGCATCTCAATAGCGAGCTCTACCAGCCAAGCAGCCTGCTGCGCACCTCAGTCTCCCCGGCCGTGAAATAAAAGATCAGGTTGAGCTCCTGAGAGAGGAGGGGGGAGTCGAGGGGTTAGAACGGCAGGGAGAAGCCGCGAAACGCAACCAGCTGTGGGACTGCTGGCAGCCTGAGCAGTGCACCTCTGAGCTCCGCAGCCACAGACTGCACACGGCTTCCACCTGCTCTGCGCTTGCAATGTCTGCCAACCCCTTGGTCCTGCCCCCGTGCCCACCCCCATCCTCCTGGCATCGACCAAACAACGGCTCCCTGGTGCATCGCGGGACAGCGGCGCGCCTCCTGATGCTGGACCCTTCCCCCAAAACCCCACCTTGAACCCTGTGACGATCATCTTGGGCAGCGCACTCTGGCACCTGGTCTCATCCATGAAGGCTGCGCGGCCGTCGGGGTCGTCCCTCAGGGCCCACAGCTTCTGCTCCCACTCTATGCTGAAGGGGAT